TGATTTTTTTTTTAATGTTGCACATATTGCAAAAAATGGCTTGACATATAAAGGAAAGATGTTGCAAGCTTTATGGTGAATCCCCCACCATGCAAAAACTGGATAACACAAGGATGACATGCACAATAGCATATGTGGAAGTAGGTAATACTAAATAACCGCCCTTTGAGTTCCACAGAGAAATAAAACAATTGAAAAATTAACTGGTATCATTAATCTCCCACGACCTGTATTTATTTTCTTGCATTCTCAAGTATTACCCCATCTCCTCATGCTTTTAAATTCACAAAGATGCCTAATTCTATCTTCTGGATTATTGATTCAAATGCTATAAACCATATGATCAACTTTTCACATAAGTTCATTTCACATATCCTTTTTCCTAGCAATAAAAAAAAAACTATTGTTGATGGATCGTTGTAGACTATTATTGGCTAGTGAGACATTCTTATAAACAAATCCCTCCCTCTGTAAACTGCCCTCTATGTCCTAAATTATTCATCAATTTATTATATCCAAGAGCTAACTACATATAAAAAATATTGTGTTGTGTTTTACTCTTCACATTGTGTCTTTTAAGAATAGGGTACAAGGAGGATGATTGGACTTGCTAAAGAAAGGGATGGTCACTACCACCCCAAGGATTCCAATGATCATGGAAAATCCACATAACCTGTTATGTTATCTTTTCATTTAGGAACCTTTAAATCCATATGAATTTCACACCTACATGTTGGCTATCCATCCATTATTATTCTTAAATCTATATTTTCTTTATTATTAAAAAATCAATATTGAAGAATTAGATTGTGATATTTACGAGTTAGTAAAACACAAATGTACTAGTTTCCAATAAGTCATATAAGAATCCCAAGCCCATTTTCTCTCATTGCTAGCATCCCTTGCGAGAAATGTGTTTGTGTTCGCTGATGTCACTTTTAATAAAAAAGATAAATACTACTTTGTTGCTACTAGTCTTATGGAAAAAAATATCAGCCACAAATGAATTTTTCCTCCTAGATTACCCTTACTTTCCCCTCATCCCAACAAACAGTTCTGTTTTAGAACCAGTCACTCCTATACAAACTTTTCCTATACCAGAACCCCCTCCTTACTCAGCCATTCCAAAATTTTCAAGAAGAAGGGCATCTCAATATGTGCTATTCCAATTCATTAAATCAATTCCCATCATTTAGTTCACTAAGGAAAACATCGAGTCTAAAAACAAAGGTACAATAACCTAAACAAGAATTACACTTGTTTTTATCATGCAAAAATCTCTCATAGTTGCCAATCCTTTTTTATTAGCCTATGTGCTATTTATGTCCCTAAAATAGTCTCAGAAGCTTTAAATAATCAATTGGAATAATACTATGAGGGAAGAAATGAAAACTCTTTAAAAAACTAAACATAGTAATTGGTAAAATTACCAAAAGGAAAGAAACTAGTGTGATGTAGATGGGTCTTGATTGCAAATATAAATTTGATTGTTCATTATAAAGTCATAAGGCCGGACTATTGACTAAAGATTACACTCAAACATATGAGATTGATTATTTAAAATCTTTGCTCTAGTTATTCAATTGAATACTGTTTGAATTTTTTGTTATCAATAACTAATAGGGACCAAAAGTTACAATAATTTGATGCGAATAATACCTTTTTACATGGTCATTTTGATGAGGACATCGGAGATCAACGGCTACGATCTTGAGTTATTTATTTATATGTTTTATGTACTAGTTTACTTTATATTGTTGTTTTTACATTTATACCCTTACGGGTGGTCATGTAGTATTGTAGCCCGAAGGGCATTTTAGTCTTTTATTTCTTTTCTCTTCTTGAGCCTATTTATAGGCTAGTTGTTTTGTATTATGAGATGATGATTAATATGAAATTTTCAACTTGTGCTTATATATCTCTTTGTGAGTTCTAAGTTTTCTCTCTTTGGATGATCTCTTAGTGAGTTCGTGAGAGGAGAGGCCCAAGTGGGGCAAAAGCAATACCCGTCAATCTTGATGGATTCCAATGTTCGCGGTTCTCTTATCTTTTTTTTTTTCTCTTTTATTGTTCTTCTTGCATCGAATTCCCTCCCCACCCGTCTTCTTCCATAGTTTCCACCACCGGCCATCCTTCCCTCCCAAATTCTCTCCCAAATTCCACCACCTCAAGCCCCTGTTTCCCCCAACCCGCCGGTTGCCTTGGCCTACCAGCCGCTGGCCGCCCCTCCCAAAACCACCATCTCCACCACGGCCCGTACCCATCTCCACCCCCATGCCGCCGACCACCTCTCCCTCTCCCGTGGAATACCCCCACCACTTCTCTCAGCCAGCCCTCCTTCACTAGATCCCAACCCGCTGGCCTCCCCATCTCTCTCCCCTTAAATTTCCCATAAATGCTTTCCTAATTTAGCTCCCCTAATTTAGGAATAGAATTAAGTTCAAATTCAAATTTGAATTTCAAACTATTCTTAAATTATCATCCCATAAATTAAGAGAAACCTCCAAATAGTTTAAATCTGAAATTAATTACAGATTTAACTATTCAATCTTCTTAATTACTTGGGCCCACCTCATTAATACCCAACCCCTCTCCCTTCCTCTCTCCTTGGCCGGCCACCCATATCCCCCATTTATTTAATTAGATCCCACAAATTAAGGATCTAATTAATTCAATCCCCTCCCTACTTTCCCTCATAAACTCCACAAATTTCAAATTCAAATGTCTAAATCAATTGCTCCATAATTACTCCATAAATCTGAAAATTAATTTCAGATTTCCCCCTATGCTCCATCAAAGGGAATTAACTCCTGTTTCCCTCCACTATTGTCCATGCAATTCCCCACCATACCCTTCAAGCTCACGTGCATCCAAAAGGAGGAAAGCTTGAAAATTTTCCTCGCCAGCTTCTAATTGCTGTCCAAGACTTCAGAACAGCAACATTTGTAATATCAAAAATCTGCTCCAGGATCGTCCAGGACGATCAGTTGTAATTCTGCTCCAGAATTTGCCCAGTTTTGCTCCAGGTGATTTTCTGTATAGATCGTCCAGGCCGATTTGGACATCGTCCAGGCCGATTGGCACTGTAGAAAATGTCGGCCTGAGAATAGTTCTGGGAACCGTCCAGGAAGATCCAAAATGGTCTGATCGTCCTGGGACGATTTGGCGATCGGCCGGGCCGATCTGTGTATTATAAAGCTGATTTCAGTCGTTTTGAAGAGAGAGAAAAATCAAAATATAAAAAATTAAAATATCTGAGGAGAGAGAAAGTCGTGGAAAATTTGGGAAAAGTTGATTTTCGGACGACGCGGAGCCGTTTTCGTCCGAAGTGACTGTTCAGGATATTGCTGTACGCAAGGTAAGGCACATTCCGCCTTTCTCAATTTTCAGAACCGTCGAGTTTGGCGGTATTTTTCGTCCGGATTTAGTTTCCGTTACTGTTTTTCGTCCGTATCTTTTGATTGGTTCAGTTTTTACCACGTAACTTTCCGTATATTGTTGACGTGCCAAGTGTGCACATTTTGGTTATTTTCCGAAGATTTTTGTCCGGGTATTTTTGATTCGGCGGAGTTTTTCGTAGACTACATTTTTCCTGTGAAATTGTAAATTATCTGTGCAGTAGAATAAATGTTCTGGAATGTGATTATCTATATTCTGTGCGAATTTGGTAAATTTTATTTGCAGGAAATTTTGTGTAAATTCTGTCTACTGCCGTTGTGCTGCCCGATTTTTGTCTGATTTCTGATTTGCCCGGATTTCTTCTGAATTGAAATGCTATGTGTATAAGCTATAAAAAGGGAGCTATAAGGGGCCTGAATCCTATGAGATTCAGTTAGTGTCTGGGAAATCTGAAATGAGCTCAAATCTGAAATCTGATATCTGTTCTGTTCCGGATCCGATGAATTCTGTTCTGGTGCTATAAGCACATTTGTTCTGGTGCCGTGAGCACAAAGGGAGGCATAAGGGGCCTGGATCCTATGAGATTCAGTCAGTGTCTGGGAAGGGAGGCATAAGGGGCCGGAATCCGTAGAGATTCCGTCAGTGTCAGGGCATTTAGCTATGAATGAAATATTATCTGATATCTGATTTGATATGATTCGGATTTCTGTATCTGTTCTGTTTTCTGTATCTGTTCTGTAAGAAATTGTGATTCTGCTACGATCAATTCTGATTTCTGATTTATGTACGATTCTGACTCTGTTGATTTAATCCGTTCTGATTCTGATGTGTATAATATCTGATTCTGATGTGATCTGTCCGTATCTATTCTGATTTGTTCTGTTTCGTTCTGATATGTCCGAGTGGATATCTGTCTGATTCTGTTCCGATTTCTGATCTGATTTCTGTCTGATGAGTTTGGTTTTGGATTCTGAGAATTTTGATTGGAGGA